CTGATCTCCTCTTCTTTTCTGCTTTTTGCTCAGTTTATGTCCACATTTATTTACAGTCAGTCACGTGATTTTTCTGATTTTTTGTTGGTTTGTTTTTGTTTTCCCTGGAACAGAAAGCTCTCATCTATCTATAATAGCGGCTGTTGTAACGAGTCTTGTCGTACTCATCTGCTGCCTTCTCTGTGTTTGGTAAGCATCATTAAAAAAAAACCTCTCACACAATTTCTGTGCAGCAAAGTTTCATCTTCAACTGTGTTAAAGGTGATGGCACGATGAATATGTGATCCTTGGTGCGCTTCATTATCAAACAAACAAATGACTAAAGTTGTTGTTCAGACGACTTGTTGTTCGGTTTAACTTTGGCAAATGTCCGCACCCCTTTAGGTTCTTCGTGTAAACCCTGTCTCTATGTATGGTCATCTGAAGCACTGTCAGATTATTCTAACAGCTCTTTATTATCTTTCAGGTGGTTTAAGACAAAATATCCAACTCGACAACAGACTCAGGTGGGAAAACACAAATCTTTTTTACGTACCAAATTTCACTGACTGTAAGGCTGCCAGATTTTCGCCTTTACTTTACCGCTCTAATGGCTCCTTAGAATTAGTACGGAAGCCATTACTGAGATCACCAAGTGGGATCAATATTAAGCTACACAACTCATGTGACATAACACCATGTTAGCTCCATACTGAGGTGGGAAACCTTCAGAAAGAGACGGTACAAACCACACAAAGGGCCAAGTTAATTTTTAAGGCTTTTTCAGCTCTCATGTGAAGTAGCTAAGTTAGAGGAAAAACTTGAGGCTATGAGGAAGATGGTTTGTCAGGGCACAGCAGGTACAGCTGCTCTGCAATTATGTCACAAACATATTTAGGGCTTTAAGGCTTTCATAAGCTAGAAAAAGAATTTAAATCTAGTTTATAACTAACTAGAGACCATTAAAATACAAATGTACAAGCACCACCTGCGGAGGAAGCTCATTTCGGCCGCTTGTATCCACGATCTCGTTCTTTCGGTCACGACCCAAAGCTCATGACCATAGGTGAGGGTTGGGACATAGATGGACTGGTAAATCGACGGTCCGGTACAGCGCCGCACCCAGCCACCTGTCCACCTCTCACTCCATTTTCCCATCACTCGTGAACAAGACCCCGAGATACTTAAACTTCCTCACTTGGGGAAGCAACTCCCTCCCCCCACACCTGGAGGAGGTAATCCACCTGTTTCCAGTAGAGGACCATGGCCTTGGACTTGGAGGTACTGATCCACATCCCCGCTGCTTCGCACTCGCTGCAAAAAGCAGAGACATGATCTTGAGGTCCCTGAACTGGACACCCTCCTCACCCTGGCTGCGCCTTGAGATCCTGTCCATGAAGACCACAAACAGGATCGGTGACAAAGGGCAGCCCTGGCCGAGTTCAACACCCACTGAGAACGTGTTCGACTTATTGCAGAGAATGTGGACGCAGCTCACACTTTGGTTGTAGAGGGACCGAATGGCTTGTAGCAGCGAGCCTGGTACCCCCCACAGAGTCCATCGAGGAACACAGTCGTAGGCCTTCTCCAGAACCACAGAACACATGTGGACTGGCAGGTCGAATTCCCATGTCCCCCTCAGCAGCCCCACAAGGGTAAAGAGCTGGTCCACTGTTCCACGACCAGGATGGAATCCACATTGCTCCTCCTGAGGTTTACCAATTGGCCAGAGCCTCCTTTCCAGCACCCTAGAGTAAACTTTCCTGGGGAGGCTGAGAGGTGTGATACCCCGGTAGTTGGAACACACTCTCAGGTCCCCCTTTTTGAAAATGAGAACCACCACCCCAGTCTGTCACAGGCACTGTACCCGATGCCCACGCAACACTGAAGAGACGTGTCAGCCGTGACAGTCCGACAATGTCCAGAACCTTTAGCATCTCGGGGTGAATCTCGTCCATACCTGGTACTTTGCCACCAAGGAGCTATTTAACTACCTCGGTGACCTCTACCACGGATATGGACGTAGAAACTCCCAGGTCTTCAGGCTCTGCCCCTCAGCAGAGGACATGTTTACCAGGTTCAGGAGTTCCTTGAAGTGCTCCTTCCACCGCTCGACGAGGTCCCCAGTCTGGGTCAGCAGTTCTCCTCCCTGGCTGTACACAGCCTGGGCGAATCCCTGCCTCCCCTTTCTGAGGAGTCGGACGGTCTGCCAGAACTTCTTCGAGGCCGACCGAAAGTCCTTCTCCATACCCTCCCCGAACTCCTCCCACACCCCTGTTTTAGCTTCCACGACTGCAGCAGCTGCAGCCCTTTTGGCCGGCTGGTACCTCTCTGCTGCTTCAGGAGACCCCCGAGCCAACCAGGCCCGAAAGGTCTCCTTCTTCAGCCTGACGGCTTCCCTCACCGCCGGTGTCCACCACCGGGTTTTACATACAGTCTATGTGAACTTCTGGTTTCAACTGTGTTAATGATACATTACAAAGAGAAAACAAGTGAACTAAACCTAAACTAGAACGGAAAAGTAGTCGTGGCAGTAGAAAAGTAATACTAACTATGATACTGAAGTAACTAACTCATGAAAAGTGCATCTGACATTTAGGTTTTTATAGCTAAGTGCTCCACATGAGGGGAAAAAGTTGAAAGACTTAAGCAGCAGTTGTGTCTCCAGATCATCCCTCCATTCTTGGCAATATCAATTAAACAGTAGCAACGTCTGTCGCTTGTGTCAGGACTGTAACTGACTATATTTCAAAGTAATCTGATCCCAACACTGCTAGTATGTGACCCATTTAGAGAAAAGCAAAGTCTAAACGAGTCCACACGTCTGACACGTGCTGCTGAAACTCGTCCAAAAGCCTATTCAGTAAACATAAGTCAAGGATCGAGCTCAACGTTTCTTTTTTAATTCTCCAGAATCACACAGGTGGGGAGGTGGCTCTTCAAATGCCAGCCAGTAAATCAGAGGAAGACATCCAGTACGCAGACGTCAAGTTCTGCAATCCGAAATCAAGCGTCTCGGTGCGGGACAGCGAACAGCATCAGGAAACCATGTACGCACGGATCCAAGCGTCCGAACCACAGAGCAGCTCAGGTCCAACTGCTGGAGGCCTCGAAGATCTCTACGCTCAAGTGAAGAAGAACTAAGTTCTGTTTTTGGGATCATATGCTTGAATTTGTTTTGCGAGGCATTAGTTCGACAAGAGATGCTTACCGACCTCAGCTGAATAACAGGAAACTTCACACCTCCACGCCCTGCAGCTCACAGTTTGGTCACTTTTACTTCCGTTGCTGCGCTGCTGTGGTGTGACAATGAACTCTGTAAATAGTTCAAACGACACGATTCTGCGCCTGCTTTTCCAGCAGAGAACAGAAGTGAACCCAAAGTAAATCTAATAATTAGCTTTGTGAGAGTTAACAGTGTGTTTGTGAGAGTTTAATTCATTCACTCAAGTTGCAGCAAAAATGAACGAGTCGCTGTTTCTGCTCATGAAGATGTTTATTCATTGCACTGTAATAAAAACCTCGGCGTACAATTTCTAAAAAATACCTAATAATCTCAGTCGCATTTATTGGTCCAACATTTCACATATTGTGTGTAAACATCACCTGAAATCATACAGTTTAATCACAAACATTACAAAAGTGGCTTGATGGATGATGCATAGTAATCCTTGGCCCCAAATATAAATCTGTTTTGAGCAATAAAAAAAAAAATTAAAAAGTAATATCAATTTAGAATAAAAGGGCATTTCATGACACTCTCAACAGTGTGGTTAAAAAGCTGGGGCCAAGATTCAGAATTTAAAACCTTTCAATCTGTAAAAATGTTCCCTCCTTACCTACTCTTTCAGAATTTTGGCTATGAAAAGGTCTTTGGGCTTCAGCCTGTAAACACTAGCAGCCTGGACACCATCGTGAAGTGTCTCCGAGGCACTATAAGGCCACGGTGATTGTACTCCAGCGCCACGCGGGGAGTTGTGAGTGAATAGAGGTAGTGACATTAGCTTCTGTTTCTGAAAACTAACCTTCAGGCTGAGAATCAAACCTCCCTCCTACCACCAACCCAGCACCAGTTCCTCAAGTGTTGCAGCATTAGCGTGAAGTCGTGTCTGTAAGGTAGATATTGCATTGTAGATTTTTGGTTTTTTTTCTTCTTCCTAACAGATTTCTCTTTGTAAGGAGAAAGTCAGAGACGACCGACTGTGTTTTCATGCACAAAGAATGTTGACTAAAGGTGTGGCTGCCTTAGTGTGCTCCAGTGATAGAATAAATACATGACTGGTTGGTGTGAGTGAGCTGGTGTTAGCCACCGTCATGTTTCTGGCACCGTGGTAGATGTTTTTGAAAATCAAACCCATCTCAAACTTTGTTTTCATGTATCAAACCAAAACTTTTTTCTTTTTTTTTTTCTTTTTTTTCAAGCTAACCTGGTTCAGAACTCAATTCTCTCTACATGTAAACCCAGTCAGTAGCTCTGATTGCACCCTAACAATCTGAATTCTGTCCCACCAGTGCCTCCCTCCCTGCTTCTGGATGAACTGTCGCTCAGTAGGGTTTTATTTGTGCACTCTGTCCTCCAGCGCCTTCAGCTCAGCCTCCACCTGGGCGGGCAGGTCGGCTCCCACCTGCTGGGTGAAGTAGGCTCTCAGCTCCTTGGTCTCGTTCTGCCAGAAGGGCTTGGGCACGTCGAACAGGGCGCCCATATCCACCTTGCCGCCCAGACCCTTGGTGTCGATGGCGCCATCCACTGGCAGCCAGCCGATCATGCTCTTCTTGGCCGCCTCGTCCTCCCTCTCTCTGCCGCAGCGCTTGAAGATCCACTCCAGCACGCGGGCGTTCTCGCCGAAGCCGGGCCAGAGGAAGGCGCCGCTCGCCGGGTCCTTCCTGAACCAGTTGACGTGGAAGATCTTGGGCAGGTGAGTGGGGGCCTTTCGGCTCTGCATGCTCAGCCAGTGAGCGAGGTAGTCGCCGAAGTTGTAGCCGAAGAACGGCCGCATGGCGAAGGGGTCGTGCATGATCACCTTGCCTGCAGGGGAAAGTTAAATACTTTACGTCTCATCGACCAGGACAGCTGTGACGTCTGGCGGAACGGCAAAAAGACAATCGACACAAAATCAGAAAATCATTTACGAGTTTGTACCTTTGTGCTCAGCAGCTGCCGTGGCCTCGGACCTCATGGCGGCTCCAACAAACACTCCGTGCTGCCAGTTGAAAGACTCGTAGACCAGAGGGACTCCTGACAACAGCAGCGTTTGATCGTGTTAACTGCACAGCTACCTTCTGACATCGATGTTGTGTTATACGTCAACAGCACGAGCGCTGTGTTGCACTGAGCAGGCCATGAACAGTAGAGATCTGCTGATATCAGCGCTGAGTGTGAATACTGAAGTCAGAGTGCTTCTACTTGTGTGAGAACAGAATAAGTAGAGACTGAATGTAATGATGGTAAACAATCAGCAGGTTGAACATGATAAACCACATACGCCATACTAGGTCACACTCTGTGTGTCCCGTTTGTTTTTCCAGATGCTACAGATTTGTGTTCATGAAAATACAGAACTTGTAGGCCTCAAGACCAGCTCAGTTTTTCTGTATTTTCATCGTATCCAATAAACCTACAGGCAGACCAAAGATCGCCGACTCATTTTCTTCTTAAATATGTCAGAACATGCTCCACAACACACTTCATGGTTTACTAGTGACAGAACACAAGAATCTGAACATGTTTAATAGAAAAAATAAATAAATAAAAACCTTTCCAAAGCTGTTTTTATAGTATTTTAAGAAATGACCGAGGACAATGTCATCCCTGATGTTGTCTCCGTCATCTTTTAACAAGAGTACACTCATAATTCACCCGTCTTTGTATTTAACTGCATTTCAGTAACTGCATATACTGTACATATTAGAATGTAGGTTGATTTAACTATTTTACATATTGTGCAATAAGTTTTAGAATAATTTGAGATGCCTTCTGACAGCAGGTGGATGAAACTTCCTTTTTTTTAAATAACCAAACTCTATTTGTGTTTATTTTTCAAATAAACTAAACTGACACAGAAATACAACAAATACCTAAAATGCATGATAAAGGCAATCATACATTTAAATTTGTTTTCATATAATCTAAAAACACCTATTAAGCTGTTAATTGTTTAATTTAAAACCTCCTACCTGTATAAAGGTACTTATTCCCCACATTATTATCTTTTATTTTCTGGTTGTCGTACTGATGTAAGCAGATTAAGCTTTACTTCCTCCTTCCTCTCCCACGCCACAGACGACCGTACAAGTAACGCCTCTTTCTACTACAGACAAACTCTCCATGCAAGTTGCATGAAAGCAGCACCAACCTTCCGGCCTCCTGCCTCCAAAGATGATGGCGTCGATGGGGACGCCCTCCTCGCTCTCCCACTTCGGGTCAATGATGGGACACTGAGCCGCCGGGGCGCAGAAGCGGGAGTTGGGGTGAGCGCAAGGCGTGGAGCTTCCTGTGCACAAGGAGGAGACGGGAGTTTGTTATTTAGTGATTTGGTGGAGAACCTAAGTCACGGTTCATCTCTAGATCTAGATCTCTAGATGCATGTAGTATTCTTCTGATTTTGCGCCGTGTGTTTCTAAGTTATTCTTGTACGGACTTCTCTTTTCTGAGCTGTTGTAACGGTGAACTTTCCCCACCGTGGGATCAATAAAGTTTACCTCATTTCTGAAACTGATGTTGCTTCGGGACACCACTAGGTGGCAGTGTGTACCACACACTTCAGTTCACCCCTCTAATGGGATTAATCATAACTGTTGTGAGAACAAACAAAGGCCTGATTAACCTTCTGAGTAATTTCAGGGCTGTTTTTTCTTTTTTCTCTTTTAATTAATGTTTTATAAATTTGTGCACCTTTGTTGAAACATAACAACCACAGAGAACCAACTGTGTTTTGTGCAAAATGACAGTAATGATGCCATAAATCATAAAAAAAGGGAAAAATGAAAGTTGATTTTTGTGTGTGTGTTGCAAAAAATCAAAAACCTGAACTCAACAGGTGCATGTCTCAGAGGCCCACAGGTGTGATCATCACTGGCTGCATACTAGAGATATGTTACCATGAACGTTCACCTGCATCTTAAGGACAACGGACACTCATTTGAAGACAATAACGTACAGATGTTGGCCTGCAGGGAGGACAGATGGTTTGAGAGAGGCGTGAAAGAAGCCATCTAACTGGAAGGACCATCCCTCAGCAGAGGTGGAGGTCTGAGGCATCACCTCTCACCTGTCTAGTCCTAAGATCTCTCCCCAGGAAGATGAACCCACATCCACACCTAGCCACAAAGACCCTAACGAACCCCACTGTGGTAGGGGGAGCACTAACGACTCGCATAACGAGGGGGAGGAGCAACAAACCCCCATCTGAAACCCAAACTCAGGTGTTAATGTCTCCTTCAGGATATCTGGAACTCCCAACTAGTCAGTCAGAGCTGATGAAGCCTCTTGGATGGAGGTGGAACGTCTTCAAAGAACTCAAGCAGGTCCAGCTGCTACGACTAATCTATGAGAAGAGTAGAAGCTTTACAGATAATTTATCATGAATGCTATTTCAATGTGTCTCCTATTGTGCTGCATAAACACAGCCTGCGGTTTAGCTGAAAAATCCCTGAATCTGGTACCAACTGAGCCCGTCGTGGCTTCATAGTTGTACCGAGGAGCGGCGCAGAAATCTATGTTGTTGTTTTGCTTCATAACTTTTAGCTATTTTAGCTGATTTTGATGACGTATCACGATTTGGTTGCTTCTTCTGATGGAACCAGAAGGGATCTATTTAAGGATTATTGGAAAGTTGAAAATCTGATCTTCCTTCTGTTTGGTGCGATTAAAGTGTTTTTAGAAAGATAACGTGAATGTCAGAGGGTTAAAGATAAAATGTAAAACTGGTTAATATGAATATGATCAAAACTGAGGCCCCGTTTACACGCAGCAGAAAGATACTTCAACGGGTCTTTGGTTTACACGTAAATGAAGCTACAAATCAACGAAAACGATCAGATCTGAAAACTCCAACCACAGTGGAGATTTGGAAAAACTCCGTCTTTGCATGTAGACAGGAGGAGACGGAGTTCGACGTCACAGTGTGCAACAAAAGCATCATCAGGTCACATGTTTACAGTTTGGCTGCTGTGATACAAACAGATGCTGTTGAAGCGGTGCTGGTTTTTACGCTTCTGGTCTGTTTGCATTTACATTCAGAACTGTTCTGTTCTGTGGAGGAGCAGAGGAGGTCAGCGGTTTTCCATCAACTTGTCCTCCTGCCGAGACCGAGGGTCGTCTCCCAACGTCGTCACCGCTGGTTTTGGATCCGACCTGGGCGAACTGCTCACTGGTGGAAAACTTTGAAACTAAACTAGTTCACCTGGAGGAATGGTGTGAGAACTGCAGAATGTCATTGTGCCGTTCGTTGTTGTGTTTTTTCCAGGATTCTGATTGGCTAGCATGGCTTTATGCTTCTTGTTACACTGCCCCCTATAGGTCTGGCAGCTCATAGCAGCTCCTAATGAGCGGGTTTGTGTAAACGAAGATTGTTTTGAAAACGATCTGAACAATGTTATTTTTGATCCGTTTTTGTAAACACCCGGCGTCCTGTAAATGTGGCCTTCATTAAACCTTCCTCTCTACAGCGGGGACACTTTACTCTGATGTCTGCTTCTGGCCTGGTCGATGCATCCTGATCTTACCGTGTTTCCAGGTTTTGCCGTGCCAGTCTGTGAGTGTGACGCCAGCCGGAGGAGGGCTCAGTCCTTCCCACCACACGCCTCCGTCGCTGGTCTCACCAACATTCGTGAACACAGTGTTTTTGGCAATCGTAGCCATGGCGTAGGGGTTGGTCTTGTCGGAGGTGCCAGGAGCCACGCCGAAGAACCCGTTCTCCGGGTTGATGGCTCTGAGTTTACCTGCAGGGAGTTCAGACATTTGATTCAGAGCACTGAATGCAGAGTAGCACGGCGAGTCTGCGTACGCGAGCCCGGCACTCAACCTTGGCTGTCGAACTTCATCCACGCGATGTCGTCGCCCACACACTCCACCTTCCAGCCCGGCAGAGCTGGTTTCATCATGGCCAGGTTGGTTTTACCGCAGGCGCTGGGGAAGGCAGCCGCTACGTAGCGCTTCACCCCCTGAGGGTTGGTGATGCCCAGGATCTGAGGAGGGAGCAGAGCAGTGAATGAAGACACTGAAAGAAACAACACTGCATCTAGACCAAGTTGTAAACAGCCTCAGAAGAAACGTATTTGTGAGAAACAGCAGCGTGTGTTGGCTGCAGTCTGTTCTACGCTGTCGGTCGACTATTTATTTTTGTTGCTGCGAAGTTCTCGAGTTTCTTCGGGCTTGGTTCACTCCCACAATATAACTCCCTCCATTCTCACCAGCATGTGCTCAGCCAGCCAGCCCTCGTCCTTGGCGATGCGGGAGGCGATTCGGAGGGCGAAGCACTTCTTCCCAAGAAGAGAGTTTCCTCCATAACCGCTGCCGAAGGACAGGATCTGCCTGGTGTCCGGGAGGTGGGATATCAGCACCTTCTCCGGGTTACAGGGCCAAGAGCTGACCAGAGGAGCTGCAGGGGAAAAGGGATCGTTTGTAAAATGTCGTAAAACAGCGAGACGAATCGTAACTTGAGTCGGGCTCTGTACCTTTGAGCGGCAGAGGTCGACCCACAGTGTGCTGACAGCGGACAAACTCTGCTCCCTCGGCAAGTTTATTGAGAACAGGAGTGCCCATGCGTGTCATGATCCCCATACTGGCCACGACGTACGGCGAGTCCGTCACCTGCGAGGAAATACTAAACATTTATCACCTTGATTTATAACGGTCAGGGGTAATAACCATAAAGTACAACAACATCTTGCTAGAACATATAATAATCACTGTAATTGTTTTATTGCAAGCTTTTGTTGTATTACGAGAACAACAGTTTGTACCTGGACGCCGTATTTAGTCAGAGATGAGCCCACAGGACCCATACTGAAGGGGATCACGTACATGGTCCGACCTGCACAGAAGACAGAGGAGCGTCAATGCAGAGCCTTTTGTCCCTGAAGGAAATATTTATTTATCATTGACAAATGTTGAAAATGAGGCTGTTATCTACAATGCTGGCTGGAGATGTAGCGCCTGTTCTTAGAAATGCCCTGTGGCTTTTAAAATCTGACACAGGTTCAGTGTGATGCTAGCTCCTGCTGTTAGCGCCTCGTTGCTCCACTGACCGACACTCGCCGGGTTTAATTTGTAAGAAGCAACCCGAAGGAAAAGCAGATTGCTCACGAGTAGACAAATATGTAAAAAAAAAAACGTATGCACCTCACACGATGTATGTGACACGAGTAAAGCATGCCGTCATTCAAGGAAGACAATAACACAACACGGCCGGACAATCCTGTTTTTCCCCTCCACGCACAAATATGTTCAGATCTTGGTATTTGACCTTCACTGCAGGTAAGAATTTAGCCAAAGAAGGCTGTTTTCAAATTCCTCTACTGAAAGTGAGTCAGAACAAGTTTGGACGTCGATCCTGCCGAGTGTGACGAGGAAACATGGAAGCTGCCGGTGACGTAGAGGCACGTGGTGTCTACCAAGTGTAAAGGTTTTTATACGACAGAGTGATTCTGTATACCTGAACATGCCTGGAGGGGATCTGTGAGTTTTAAACCTGCAGTAGTAACGTACATGAGCACTGGGTGGAGGTGATTACAGGTGATTATCAGAGATACTGGGCGTGATCGGTGGTGAAACAACTTCTAATGCAGGAAACGATGCTTTTCAATCTGGCATTAAGTCACTCTTAAAGACAAAACATCCTGTTTTATGGAAAATATTTTAAATAAGTTAAAATATCCTGGATTTAACAGCCTGGCACCGACGCACCAACATATTCTTTCCTTCCAACAACACACCTGCCATGGAGCCGGGGAAACGCTCCTCTCGAGCTTTCTGCCAGTCAGACTCGCTCATCCACTTGCCCAGCTGGCTCTGCACCCCTCCAGCAGGGATGGGGATGGTGTCTCTCTGGTTCTTGGTCACGATCACAGTCTTGCTCTCCACCCGAGCCACATCCTTTGGGTCTGTACGCGCCAACCAACTGCCAAAACAAAAGGATTGTTCAGATGAAGGGAAAGTTACCGGTGCCTGGCGGCCTGCTGTTCAACTTCCGAAGCTCTTCTCACCAGTTGTCGTATTTGGGAAGCTTCTTGACCATGCCTTCCTTCTCCAGACCGGCCAGGATGTTGGCGGTTTCCTGCGGCGTCCCAGTCACCACATGCACACCGGAGGGCTTACACTCCTCCACAGCTCCCTTCACGAATTCGGCCACCGCCGGAGGCAGCGAGGGGATGGAGGCCAGGGACCGGACCCCGACGCCGGCCCCGACACCACCCTGCCTGAAAGAGAAGGACAGCTTCAGGAATCTGTAACTCCTGAATGAAACAACAGGGACTGAACACAACTCCCAAACATAAACCACTTTATGGGATTAAAACTGAATGACCTAAATGAAGGAAGCTTATATCATGAGTTGTTCTTTCAGTGAACTCAGTCGGATTCAGTTTGATTTTAGAGATCAGAGAGACCGTCTGTATTCAGTTTCTATTCTTTAGAGTTGCTGTGACGCCACACAAACAGAAGTGACTGACACATCTGTTATGCAGACGAACGAATTATCTGATTAAGCCTTTGTTTCCCTACTTGGAGTTCATCCAGGTTCGTTCAAAGATCCTGAAAGACCTGCCGCACGACGTCGTACCCAGATGTGTAAACATGTCCTGTAATCTTTAATGACGGCTGAACTTATGGACGCACTTGTTTGGTTGATCGTGAGTCAAGGAACACAAACGGCAACACCTAACATTCATGAAACGCTGACAGTGTCCCGGCCAGCAACACAATACATCATAAAGATCAACAGAAAGTCTTCGTTCCGACTGGTTTTGGAAATTAGATTTCCACCAGTGATTAGCGACAGAGCCGCTAAAGCTAAAGAGGAGCGCACGATCAAACACACTTTCAGTACGGTTTATACTGTTGAGTGTTGTCTTGTGCGTTTCCATGTGAGAGCAGCAGTAACCAGACGTCCCTCGGGTGGTTATTAGTGCGACCTGACTGCCTCAAACTGACTCCTCAGCATAAAGAGGGGCCTGCGGGGGGTCGGCCTATTGTTTATCAGCAGCATGACGGTCACAAACACGAGCCACCGACGGGGCTACGTGTGCTGTTAACATGCAAAAGCCCGCATGCTGCCGGTTCCTAGCAACGGTCCGACAATGACCCACACAACCTCCGTGCTTTGTTCTGTGACTGTGGATGACCTCAGGTGACCTCTTTAGAAACATGTGAGACTCGTTTTCTTTATGCTCCCACGAGGAAAACAAACATTTGGATCATTTGACAGGCAGCTCAAGTCACTTCCGTCGTGGCTACAAACATCAGCGCCGTCGTCCGGGTCAGAGGCAGGTACATGGCTCCCACCTGGCTGCACTGTCTTTACACAGTACGCACATGTAAATCTGCCCTGAACGTACAAAGGGCACAAGAGCAGCAGGCGTGGGAAGGAGCTCAGAGCGACGGAGGAGATAACTCGACAGTGAGAGCAGTCGAACTCCCTTCGAGGCGGCCACCTGTAACCCACCAGTTCAGCCAGAACAATTAATCATCAGCGCTGTCCGCTTTGTGCTGATGATGCAGCTTCGGAGCGAGACACAGATGTTGAATTTGGTCATCTGAAACTGGACTTCACAGCCCCGATGTGAAGCGGCTGTAGCTCAGCTGCTAGTGAAGGCGAATCTTTGGATTATAGACGATGAGTCGACGACACCGGCGTGCTCGCAACACGGACACGTCGACGTTTAGCGTGTGTGATGTTCACCGTCCTGGTTCAGCATCTACTGGAACTACAGAAATGACTGATGGGAACGTCAGCTTTAGCTGCAAACCAAATCCCTCCACGAGTCGCTCAGACGTTTCCCTCAAGGGGACGACAAAAAAACCAGTTGAGGTATTTTAGTTTGGACCAAAACTCGCTCCCTTCCAGCTGTTGAAGTACTTTTCAGTTTAAGAGTTTACATCAAGATCTGAGCAAAAGAGAAGCTAAAGGAACAATACGGTTAACACTGATCCTCTGACCCAGAAACCCACAGAATGAAGACACTCTATCTGTGCTATTATGTCCAATCCTGTAATCCTTTAGTCTCTTTCCCCACACGCAGCAAATCAATTACCTACACTCCAAAAAATCCACCGCGTTGTGCCGTTAATTACTGTAAGCGCCGGGGTGGTGCTGGATATTATCTCCAGTGTGTCTGGGATTAGGAAGGAGCCGGATTGCATTTGAAATTAATTAACGGGAGCAAAGAGTTTTGTTAACTGTTCTCGCTGAACGCGCTCGAGACTAGACATGAAGGGGAGAGACAGATTAGTGGCTTCGTTCCTTCATTTTTTTTTTGCATCGGAGGATCTTTTAGGAAATCCTGAACGGACTTCAATGACCTTTGCTCCCAATCTTGCCTGCAGCCCTCCTGCGTTTATCTCTGCCTCCCCAAACTGTCCCCCAAACACCTGATGTGGAAAAGCACTGCAAGTTCAGAGCAGATTTTATTATAAAACCTGTAAATGTGAGCATTCAGCAGGAAGGGGTTGGAAATGAGAGGCCAGAGAGCAGCAGATAACCCTGATATCTGCTCCCCAGACTGTCTGGAGCTGCACAGCTTCTCCTCCAAGCACACCTCCAAGACAGCAAACCAATCCCGGCCCACCGCGAGCAGGCACGTCTACACTCCCCCTACGACGCCCGGGCAGATCCTGGTCAATAGCCTCTCCGGGGGCAGAGTCTAGTCAGGAAGCGGCGTGTTACTGGAGAGGACATGCACACGTGCTGCATACATTAGCCTCCCTGACGGTACACTGGGAGGGGGAACACACACGGAACACGCTCCAGGACATTCAAGTCACGACTCCGGCCTTTTAACAATCTGTCAAGCAGAAATACAAACAGAACGCACAGCAGCACGGCCCAGTCCGACACCGAGCCCATGCCCCGCTGTGCTGCTCACATGCAGGCTTCATTACAACACAAATGCACACACACACATAAAGCCAATGAGTGCTCACTGTGGCTCCAGACTTCCTGTGTGCCATCACAAAGCCTGGAGGGATGAAAGCAGTACAAGAAACAATCATCTTCAGCAAAAACCAAAGATCAGTCTCACTGTCGATTAATCAGTTTGGAGAAACAAGTCCATCAAAGTCCTGTCTGTGTGTGAAATAATGGTAGCAGCTCTGTTCAAAGGCCTCAGAGATCAAGTCAATATGATGAAATAACTCCTAAAAATCACCTTAAAACGTGTCCCCTACAACACACGGATGATGTGAAATGCTCTACATGATGTGGTGTGTTCTGTGTTTCAAGCCCATTGTGAGTGAAGAAACAAACAGAAGTGGACAGAAAACACACATAATGGACAGCAGGGTGTCCACAAACAGGCAGTGACAGAGTTCAAACCCAGACATTTAGAGTGTTGTTAGTGATGAATGTGTTGATTAAATGATAATTACTCACCTTCGGATGACTCCCAGTAAAAGACACGACATCTCTGGTGCAAAATCTAAACTAGCTTATATTTAAAAAAACAACTGTAATAAAAAATAAAGGCACATATAAGTTATGAGGAGCAGAGCTGGTGGCGGCTCACACCAGGACTCTGAGGGGACCTTGCACTTTGTACATTCACACAGAAACCAGGTGTCGGCGCTCAGCTGGACCCGTCCTGCCTCTGCTGCTGCTGCGCGGCCACTGAGCGCTGGAGGCTCCCGGGCCGGCCGTCCCTCCTCTGTTCGCCGCGGCGCAAAGTAAACTTTAAACCCTGGTCACCGGCTCAGACGGCAGCAGGAGGAGCTTCGCAGTTTAAATATTCCTGCTTCTCGCCAGGTTGAGTCCATACCGCTGGGTGTTCCGTCCGCCGGCTGCCCCCCCCGCCCCCCGGCTGGATGATGCAAGTTTCCTCGGTTCTCACGGCCGCCGACAACCAGCGTGGAGGAGCGACCCGGAACACGAGCAGGGCCACGGAAACAGATCGTCACCGGGAAGCGGAGGCCGAGGCCCGCTGCTCGCTCTTAAGCTCCCCCCTAATAGGCAAAGTAGGTTTCAGGTTACAGTCACACATGACGGAGCTAATAGTTCAGTTTGGACACTTTTCCCTCAAAAGGTTTAAACTTTCTGAAGCTAAAGCAACAGGTTGATAAGACAACAACCTGTAGCTTGGTTTATAAGTAGCTCCCAAGTCTGAAATACAGTCACCTGTAGCTGATAAATGATGTTCAGCATCATCTAAGACAGCAACATAACAACTAACCAGCAATAAAACTGTTGTTATCTGTCTAAACAGCTAACTAGTTAGCTTTATGTTATGCTATATTAGCCTGCCGTAGCATTAGCTAGCTAGCTTGACTTCCTGGCTGCTGTGTGCTAAGCAACCCTGGTGGTTTGTGACGTCATCATTTTTATCTTAACTGAAAAAAGTAACAATTATATTAAATTTATAATTTTAAATTAATTCCCACACACTGCCTAACTTGAAAAAATACATTTATACATTATTTTTTATCTCAGGAATTTGAATATTAATGGTGATGAATTTATGGTAAAGTCATAGCTTTTGTCCCAGGCCCATCAATTAAATGGCAAAAATCATGTTTTATAAAGAAACTATTTCTGTCTGTGTTATTAAAAATTTTTAAGCAAACTGCTGCATACTGTCTATCTTGCAAAAATATGTTTGGTAGCTATCTTTTCTTGCTCTGATGAGTTTTGTACACCATCAGGTATTACAATAAATTAACAGCTAATCAGA